TTGGGATCCTTTAACGTGACCACTAGGTGGCAGAACATGATCTTGACATAATGATTAAGCCTGTGATAAAACCCTGTCGAGTGCCTTTGTTGTTTGGTAACTCATTGAATTGCAGGTAATTTTGTTCAATCTCTGTCGCCAGGTTCTATAAACTACATGAAAGGAAGTGTGAGCCGATCGTGATGACTGTTCCGAGGAAGGTGAGTCCTGGTTTACAGACCTGTGATCTGCATGTTGATGCTGCATTGAGGCCTGTTATCTTTTTTTTTTCTTCTTTTTTTTTAATTTCTTTAACCTGGTTTAAGGATTCTCCTCACAGCTTGTCTCTTTTTTCCTCCCTTGCCAGTCGGACCTGTTCCAAGACGACTTGTACCCAGACACATCTGGACCCGACCATGCCCTAGAGGCTGAGGAGTGGTTTGATGGCAAGAATGGAGACCCAATCCTCATCTCCCTCAAGAACGGCTACGTCCCGGGCAAGAACCGTGAATTCAAGGTGGTCAAGAAGAACATTTTGGACAGCAAGAACACTGAGAACTCGGGCCCTGCCAACAAGTCTGCCTCCCAGACTCAATCAGTTGTGAGTACTTGCTTTTCTAAGATCTCCATTGTGCCTAATAATACATGTATCGCTGGATTTCATTTAATTGGCAATTCTCCACTCGGTAGAGCTCTGCAATATGAACGGTTTGCTTCTGATATGGATCCCACTGTCAGAAGAGGGTGTTAGCTGTGGAACATAATGGGGCTGCAATTAAAAATTATTTAAATTGTCATGGTAATCTGCCAAATTTTCTCAAATTATTATTTGGTCTGTAAAATGTTATAACATCATGAAAATCCAAATGAAAATATTCCGCAAAGGCCAAGCAGACGAAGAAGATAAACACATGAAGTAATACCTCTTACTGCTGACATTATCAGTGAATATCTGCCCCCAACGTGAAGCAGACAAAGTGTATTTGAAGCAGCGCAGATTGCTGGCTGTGGTTTGCACATGTTGTTCCACCGACTCTCCGCCCCACAAACTGAGGGGACCGTTGCTGCCCTGAACGCCTACTGCTGGGCGTCCTGCCGCACCGCGCCTCGCCCACAACACAACCACCCGCCCGGGACCCAGCCCATGTGTCTCCCAGCAGTCGTGCTCTGTAATCACAGCCTGCCGGGCTCCGCGCGCGTTAACCCTCAGAGTACCGGACCCTGCCACATGGCATCCAGTCCCAAGACTTTAGGCAGCGGCTTTGAGAGAGGAAGGGTCTTGTGCGCTATTGTGACCTACATTAGGTCTGTTAAACGTGACCGTGCTTGTGATTCACTCGTTACTTGTGTCTCCCACAGAAATCTGGCGCCAAGCTGGAGGAGATCTTGAAAGAAGTCAAATCTCTCAAGGACCTGGTGAGCAGTCAGGACAAGCGAATCGCCAAACTTGAAGAGCAAATGTCCAACATTGCCATTTAGGGACCCTTTACCCAACCTGCTACAATTCAGGACGTTCCATTGGCTGAGGGGTGGGCGGGACCAGTCACTGCCTATCTCAATGACAGTGTTTCGTCTGAGGCCCTAGCCACATTCCAGTTGAACTTTTTCTTAGCCAGCCCCCGACCCTCAGTTTAACACAGGTGGAATAAGGACGTGTGGCAACATTAGTACAAAATACTCTTTGCTTTTCGGTGACAAAGGACTCTCTTCCTTTTTATTGTGTGGCAGTCTTTTTTTATTTTTTATTTTGTCTACTTGTATAAAAAAAGGTCTTACCTATTCCTTGCATTTTAGAAAAACGACCAGGAATATTCCAATAGTCAGCATTTGCCATTGAATACCCAAATACCTTTTAGTAGATCTCAGCCGATCATCTTACTGTATCCCAAAATTATAATGTTGCCAAATTTGACATTTTGTTTACACCTCCTTATCAGTATTTCTTTCACTGTCTTTGTGGGACGAGTCAAAATGCAAACGGGGACACCCAGTGAAGTACGCTGGTTATGTGAGGACATCCTCAACAATCAACTACGACATTGAAACAATTTGGATAAAATTAGTGGTTCCACCAGGAAGTGAGGCGAACACGGGACCCGTTCAGCTGCCACAGTCTCCACCCCCACATTACATAAACCACCACTCTGTCTGTCTGTGTTAAAGCTGCACAGACTCTCTGCTTTTTTCCATTTCTTCTCGTTCCTCTTGCTTCCCGTCATTCTGACTGAGGACACTAGTCCAAGTAATGCAGCATTCCTCTCATGCACTGTCTGCTCATTGGAGAAACACATTCCACAGATCTCAATGGCAGTTTTTTGGTGTTGGGTGGGGGAGAAGATCCCTCTGTAGAGTTCCCCTTGGTGTCAACATTCTACTGTCGTGACGCAGTGGTTGTTATTGTGACATCTATGTCCTGTCCGTGACAAAGGTCTTGGCTCTGCTTCATTTCTGTAAGAGGTTCAGCCACCGACCTCAGTGTTTAGTCACTCGTTGTGGAGATTCTTTTTTCCTTTGCATTATACGCCATCTCAGATCTTTATCTTCTGTACAAACAAAACCGGAATTTACATTAATTTACACATCAATCACAGAACTTGACTATTTAAAAACTTTCTGGTGATAAAACTGGAGATTGCTACAGAAACTGTTCGTGGTGGACGTCAAGGGCCTGGATTGTGTGTGAATATGTGCCTCATGTCTTTTGGGTACCCGTCACCGTGGCTGTTCCTGCTTTTGCTTCTCGTTAGGGGAGGGTTATGAAATGAAATACGGTTGAATGTCAGACTGGCCTCTGACCTGGATTCATTGAATAGTTGGGTATTGCTTCACTGTTCATTTTAGCCTGTTTCTTGTTCCGGCTGTGCTTATTTCCCTCTTGGCACTTCCACTTTTTAAAATTGTTTATTCCTCAGAATCCTCTTGAGTATAGTTATCACAAACCCAGGCAACTATTGAAAAATCTGGTCTGAGCGGTTTCGACCAGACGGCTACGATAAAAGCTCCTCTTAACGTTATGGTTCATTCAGTCTGTTGTTTGCCTTTAATATTTGTTACCACTGTAAAGACCTGAAAGTGCCATAGAGGTGACCATGGAAGTGTTTGTATGGGACCGTTGTGAGAGTAGGTTTGAGTAGTAAATGTTGAGTTGAAAGGTGCCCGCAGTCAAAGCCACTTTGAGGTGCTAATACTTTAATAAAAACACACTATGTTCAAAGGACCCTGCTCCTTCAGTGCTGTGTCAGCTGTTTGTGCATGATCTAAAGTCCTGCCGATCCATCCCACACTACGCCAGGCGGCATTACTAGTCGAGGTTTGTGGGTAAGCAATGTGGCCCGGACAGTTTGACACTTTCCACCTCGGTACGGGTATTCAAAACATCTTTACAAAAATGATGTCAAACCGAGACGCTCATCGTGGCTTTGAGAAGCAGTTGTGAGCAGCGAGTCAAAGAACATCAGCATCAGGAAATGAAGTGGGGCTTAGACGAATGTGTCCGAAATAAAGGATGCTATTTGCCGCTCTATGGATTATTTATAGCACGGTCGGCACGAGAGCAAAGTTTTGAGGAGTATCGATTAGCGATCCAAAGGGACACTGTAGGTTGGAGAAATGTGCAGTTGAAAGATAGATGTATGTTTGTTGTTTAGGGTTAGGAAAGTGAGTGAAAGCCGTGTAAATAACAAGACCATATTTTTTCTTCTTCTTTTTTTGTTGTGGCTGTGCTGAAGAGGGTATTTGTGTGGGAGGTGTCTTTTTAAATGTTTCTCTCTGTCTGTGTTCCCTGCACCTTGCCATAAAGCAGAGCCTCTGTTAATGTTGGAGCTCGTACAAATGTCAAGAAAGAAAATCAGACCAAAATGAACCAGGATGAAGCCTCATGTTGGAGGTCTGCTCAGCGTTTTTGTTCATTATTCTTGCTTCAAGCATCAAACATTGATTATAAGAAAAAAATAATAAAGACTTTTTAAAATGGCCTCATTGTATCTGTTGCATTTCATCTTTGCCGTTTTCAAAAGTGTTCCACAGATTTGAGCCTTTTGATGGAAACCCCATCAACAGTTCTGTTTGAGTAACAAATGTACTACTGGAAATCCAGCCTCTGCTATTTCTCACCTGACATTAAAGCCCATGAATGAGTTTTATCTCCTGATCATTTACAGTTGTTGTTTTGTATCCTATCTAATGTGTTCCTCTGAAGACGTACATCTTTAGAAGTGGATACCAAATGACTAAAGCACCAGTGTGGCTCATATAAGTGTCTCTGGTATTTTCTAGAACTGCTCGGTGCAGATGAATAAGCCATTTGATGTATAGAACATTATTTGGATATACGAACAATTAATGTTGTGATTTAGTGTTAATATAAACGGTCAGATCGCCGTCAGTGTTGTGAAAACTTGACATGTGACCTACATTGGCTGTTGGCGAGTACAGCCGATTGGATTCAATGTGAAGTTAACCAAAGTGCTGCTATTGTGTTCCAAACCACAAAAACAACCAAAGACTATTTCAGTTCAACTCTGTTACAGCAAAAAATAGAAACCAAACTTTTTGAAAGAAACTTAAATCCACAGATCTGGTAGAAATAACCCTTTAAGGTTTTTCTCATCCAAAACCTGGCGAATTGCTTCCTTTTATTCCCTCAAATCTCCTGATCAGGTGTAATATCCACAGCTCACACCTCCAGCAGCCTGAATACGCAGAGACGCATCCACAGATAACTGCTGCTGAAAGCGCATGAAGTTTATACGTTCGCCCTGGACGAGTGTCTCGGGATGAACGCGGTTGTCTTCTCTCTGCGCGGGTCTTGTGCTCTGCAGAGACGGGCTGTAATCAACAAGAACTTAATTAGAGGACTCGGTGGGAGGCAGAGGACTCGCCCCGCTAAGTACAGAAATAACCATTTGCCTAAAACATGGGACTCATGTTCTCACTGCCATGTTTCAAAGCTCAGCCTCACTTTGACTCCCATGAGTGGAACGTTGAATGAGTGAACACACGTTGATCACCTTACGTGATCAAACAAATTGAGTATTTATAGAGCTTTTGGTATTTATCTTGTATGAGAAAATGTAATTATAAATACTCCCATAAATGAGAAATAAATGTGTGGTAAAAAGGACCAATCCCGAATGGACACCCTGTACGTGCAGGAGGAAGACGAGTGTGTAGGGAGGTGGAAAGAGGGAGGAGATAGATAGAAATAGAGGGATGGACATCATTTTCCTGTGAGCAGACTTTTAGAGCTCAGTGAAAAAACATTCAGTGCATCTCAGCGAGGAGGGCTGATGCTCGGAAACTCTCCCTTTCCTCTGGTCACTTTGTCTCCCCTCGATTGTCCTCCCTGTCTCCTGCGCTGTGTTGGCCTGTTCAGAGGAGAAACCAAGGATAACACTTCCTGTAAGTATGTTTTTATGTTTGAAAAGAATTTAAATGCAAGTCAAAACCACAGACAAATATCTCTTGTATTCCCGAGAGGTCTGTGTTTACAAACCGACGAATCTTATGATCATATTGTTTAAAGTTAGTTCATAAAACTAACGTGATGGTGGACATGTAGTACATTTACTCACGTAGCACATTCCATCTTTATGAAACTTGTTCTGGATATTTTCACTTAACGTAATACTACATTTCAGGGAGGAGTATTGTACCATAAAATCCATTGCAATGATTTGTAAATTGATATTTTTCTAGTTAATAGTTTTACTTCATTAGGATTTAAAGTGCATGTATTTAATGAATATATAATTATATTTATATATTCACACACATTTGATATTGTTTTACTTATAAAAGATGAATGCTTCTTTCTAACCCTCAAGGTTTCTTTTTGTCTATTTCAAGAACAATGATGTAATTGATGTTTAGTCCTAATATTTATGTGAGTAATATATTAATATTAAAAATATAAACGGCCATCTTTGCAAATTAATGCTTATTTGCCAACTTTTCCAAAACTACGTCTCTCAGACTGAATTTGTAGTAAATGTGTAATTATTAATGGCAAACACATCCAGGACATGTAGGCTTACAAAAAGCTGCTTCTGTAAATCTAAGTAAGGATGTCATGAAAGGCTTAAATGTCATGAAATGGGTTAATTGCATATGTGGTGTGTGACGGCCTTCAGTTGAAGGACCCTGCAGTGAAATAAGGGGAATGTAATTACGGGTATAATTATGAGGATTCAAGGCCAGATCTGTCCTACGGCTTTACACCCAGGGATGAAGACCCAGCCCACCATGTGGTGCAGCCGCGGCCTGTATGCAGGACCACACAGGGAGGGGGGACAGAGGGGGGGTGGGGGTTTCACGCTGTAACGTGAATGAGAGCACGAGCAGGTTCAGCACGATGCTGATTAGAAGCTTGTCATTGCAGATGAGCACTGTGTAATCATACTGTCTGCTCTAAATGCTAACAAGCTGAGCTCTGCACTACGGTTTGGTTTTTACTTGATAGAGCTTCACTTCACACTGAGAGGAAGAAGGATGGAAGAAAAGTATTATCGGGTCAGGAAGTATATTGAGTTAGTTGTACTGTCAGTAAATGCTGGTTTTGCTGGAGGCAGAAATATCTCCTCTGTGCTGCCGTGGGCAACAGCAGCTGCTGCCCAGTGTAAATATAGAGCCCGCAGCCTCTGTGCTCCCCTGGAATATGGCTTCCTCCTGACTTTGGTGTGGTGGATGGGTGGCCTCCCTCTACTTTACAAATTATAAGGCCTTCAGCACCAAACTCACTGTCTCCACCCCAAAGAGGTAATGGCTGCCCAGCTGCCTGCTAAAATAGAACTGGTCCAAGTTGGGAAGCTGAGTGAAGATGAATACTACTGTTGCATTTCAGATGGAAACAGATGTTAAAACATTGGTTTATTTTCTACATCTGTTTCATGAAAGACTGCTTGACACAGGTTAGTGTGAATGCATCGCAAGAAAGACGTTAAGGGTAAAAATCGACGAAACATGATGGCGCTTTATACCGTAAACAGGCGAGCTGTTTCCCACTTTCCGGTCTTCTACTAAGCTAAGCTCCTTCTTCTATCAGTGCCAAGCCCGTGTGTTGGATTTGATATGTATTTCCTTATGTGATACTAAATTCGGGACGGCCATTGCTGTTGTTGCAGGCCTCCGAGGAGAAGATGACGTCCCGTTTGCTTTTTCTCGTCACCTGCGTGACCCTTCTCCCGCTGTGCCACGCCACTCCTCTCTTCTCCAACACCTCCATGGACGGCAGCGGAGATGAAGCAGAGCCGGAACTCATTTTCCCAACCTCCTTTTCCACACGAGCCCCTGCTCAGGTCTCTGCTGCCACCGAAGCCCCCAGCCTCGTCAGGACCATCACGTCCACCATCACCATCACCATGATTCGCCTGAAGGACTTTGTCCTCACTCGAGTCGTGGACTTCCTGCAGGAGAATCTGCTCATCCTCATCGTTGTGACCTCCCTTCTCGTCGTCATGGTCTTCATCATCTGCTGCGCCTGCGCCATGAGTCACAAGCGTAAGCTGGAGGCCTATAAGCCCCTCCCTCCTCCAAGCAAGAAGCACGCGGCTGAAAAGACAGGAGCAGGGAAAAAGTCAAGCGAGCCCCAGGAGAGGCCGTACGCCGTGGACCACGTCAAGAGGGTCCAGACTCAGAGCGTGGCCTCCCCCAAGCACCTGCGCGTGCCCTCCAAGGCTCTGGTGGGCGAGAGGGGCAGAGATGTCCGGTCGTCGCCGCGCCCGGAGGTCAGGAAGGTCAGGGAGGCCGAGGAGGTGGAAAAGCGGAGGGACGTGCCCAAGCACAAGGAGCAGCCAAAGCACCGGGAGGAGGTGCAGCAGAGCTCCAACCCCGGCACCAGCTCCGGCCATTCGGTCTGCACCTGCCACCTGAAGAAAGCCCACCATTAGAGCACGGGCAGGGCTGATGTTGGCCCGAGAGGTGAAATGTCGCAACCACAACATTAAAAAAAACCAAGATCAGACAGGTTGGTTGCGGTTAAACGTATAGAAAGATATTTAGAAATGGATTTGTGATTGAAATCTGGTGTGCCCCTTAAAATGATTAAAGAGTTAAATTTAAAAGTTCGTGAATATATGAACTATGGCTTAAATCAAAAATGCTAAATACTAGCTGTGTTGCTGCATAAATCCTGTCTATAAATCTTGCATGTCACAGTTGCAACATAAGTTTAAAAAGCTAAATGCCAACGACCATTAAACCCTCACAGTGGCTCAGTAGTCCTTCATTTAGCTGTGATGTTGAATGGAATGGAATGGAAATCCTGCATTTTGCCATGTTCTCCAGATTGAAATGATAGAAAGTGTTTGTGTGCTTTGATACCGAGTTGTATTACTCCATGTGCCTGCCTATAGACAGAGGAATCTCCTCAGCATGTCCTGCTGTACGCTGTGGCTTCTTTTCACCAGCTAGAAGCCGTCATTTGGAGCAAAACCTTTGCTGCTGTAAATGCAGCAAAGTGAGACTCCAGTAAACTTGAGTTGTTGGATAAGCGACACAAGCATATCTTTATATTTACATTCATATTTAGTTGGTTTTGTTTCATGTTATTTTATGTCATATAGTGTATATTACTCTACAAACCTAATTCACAAAGCTTTACACCAAAAGAACAATGTTCAACAGTGTTACTGGGAAGTTTAAGTAGAAACATACATATATATAAATCTATTGTTTATCTGTCTATATATTTATTTGGTTGATAGTTCTGACCTGCATTCAACATAAGTAAGGTTCTGGGGTACTAAAACTTTGTGAATCAGGTTTGTATTTGTATAAGTAATACTTATTAAGATAAATAGTGTTTTGTTTTCAGTGTAATAATGTGTAACGAGTCAAAACTTGAGTACGAAGGTAGGTAGTAGTTTGTTCATCTTCTGCTGGTGTAATAGAATTAACTAACTTATGTTGGCTAAAACAGTGTCTAAAATTCAAACACTTTGATATGTTTGTCTGACATCATTTAGATATAAATTCCGATTACACTGGAGAAGATAATTTGTATAAACTCTCAAACTCCCCGGCCTATGAAGGTAATGACTGAGGGCCACACAGCCTCAAACTGATGTCCTCACATCACGTGTTTCCACACAGATGAGTTGTTTACAAAATGACAGTTTTCTCTGTTTATGTCAAATAAAATAGTTGACGATAATGTTTTTGTCATTATTGAAAATGGTGGATACAATTTCATGATGATAGACAATGCAGCTCAAAAGAAAATCACAGATTAGAAGAGTTCATCAAACGTTTGCTGGAGATCTTCCAACGTAACGCTTCACACACACACACACACACACTGATTGGTCCTGGTGAGGGCGTTGACACCATCACACCAAAACACAGGCCTGCAGAAGGTACTGGAGCCTGGAGATGACGACGTTCCTCTTTGTCCCTCGCTGGCCACTGTACAAGATTGTTTAAATATTTAAACCGCAGTACACCAGATACACACACAGCCCTTTGCTCCAAAATAAGATCTGAAGGCATGTGTTGTCTTTACAAATCTCCAGACATTGATTTGTTCATCTGAGGTTCAGTCAAACAGTCATTCCTTCACTACGATAACTCGTATTCCGTTCGGTATGTTAATGGACGTATTCAATCCATCTCAATATGGGCAGACAGGTCAGAAATCTATTTCAAACCATCAACCCGAATCAAAACATGATTAAGCATTGTGAAAAGGACTGAAGTAGATTTTTGTTTTAAATAAAGTTTGAGTTGAATCGTGACTGGTTCTACACCTGGAAGATCAAACATCAGAGATGACGGCACAAAGGCAAGCGTGCCGCCGTGGTGGCTGAAACGCGAGCTGTGGCAGTGCCTCGCACCAGGCTCACGTTCCCTGCTCTCTTGTCAATGAGGTGCTAAATAATTCGAGCCAATGCCCCCCCTTCACTTTCACTCTTCCCACCAGCTGATGGGAAGACTCAAGGCCAGAGGACCACCCACCGGCGCGCCCCGTCCACGGCCGGTTTGAGACATTCAACGTCTGTTTGAGTTAGTCGATACACCTGTATTTTTTACTTCTTTTTTTTTTTAATTGTTACATACATCACCTGGACATTCTCTCCGTGTGTATTTTCAATCTTTTCACTTCTCAGCCACTGAAGCAATATTACCTCTAAATCCATTGAATTGGGGAAGAGGATCCAGAATAGGTAATGCGGCACCTTAAGCCTGTCGTTAAACTTTGATGAGCATCTGCCAGGAATTCTCAACAACAGCAGTAGTTACATCTCGAGCCGACCAAATGGGGACAATTCTGCCCTCCTCCTCCTCAGAGGAGCAGTTGAAACAGGAGGAGAAAATGGTAAGTGCTACACCTTTTGCTTCTCTACTTGTCGGTGCTGCATTCTAGAAGTACCCTTTCTTTCCAGGGGTTCACATACAGCACTTTGCAACCACTTACAAGCCGCTCATTAGAGGAGCTTTTTGTTAAAGCAAGTGGGAAATGTGCCTGATGTGGTTGTCTCCTCTCCCTTGTTCCTGGCAGTGAGTCATGCTTTGGTGCCAATGTGGTGTCCTCCTGCTACTCTGTCCCCTAGCGTGCCTCATGACACCTCCCTGTCCCCCCGGCTGCTGCTGTCCTCGCCCGGGATTCCTGGTGCTGTGCGAGTCGCTGGGTCTCCGGTCCCTTCCTCGCTCCGTCCCTCTCAGCACCTCGGCTCTATCAGTGGCCAGAAACCAGCTCTGTAACGTGGACCACCTCCTGCGGCCCTTCTCCGACCTGCAGGAGCTGAGCCTCAGTCACAACCTGCTGGGCCCGCTTCCCTCGCGGCCTGCCCCCGAGGCTGGAGTCCCTGCTGCTGCAAGAAAACCGCATCACTTACATCACCTCCGGCGCCCTGCGACAACTGGGGAATCTCACCCGCCTGGACCTGGAGGACAACCGCATCCGTGCCGTTCAACGCGGAGCGCTGCTGCGTCTCAACAAGCTGCAGGTGCTGACTCTGAAGGGGAACCAGCTTACGAGCCTCCCTCTGGATCTTCCGCCATCGCTCACCCATTTAGACCTCTCTGCAAACTGCATCTCCGTCCTGGACCCGCCCTCGCTGTCCGCCCTGGTCAACCTGCAGGTCCTGAGGATCAACAGCAACTGCCTGCGCTCGGTCCCGGAGAGCGCCTTCGACGCGCTGCCGCGTCTCAGATCCGTGGAGCTCGCCAACAACCTGTGGGTGTGCGAGTGTGAGATCCTGTATCTTTACCGCTGGCTGCTGATCGGCCGGCCGAGGACGGCCACAGACCTGGTGTGCACCGAGCCGGTCCATCTCGCTCAGCACCTGCTGCTGAACCTCTCCGTCATGGCCATCTGCCCTCGGGCCCTGAGGCCAGATGAGAGCAGCCACCAACTGGACCAGTACTCTCCACTGGGAGGACAGCCGGAGACGCTGGCGGAGGAGCCCACAGGGCCGAGCTCAAACAAGATGGATTTGGGAAAGTTGGCCAGGCGAGAATCACGAGAGAGCCCAGTTGGATTCGTTTTCAACGATGCACGTAAGAGTCACGTGTTGCTTAAGTTGTACTCTTTAGAGACCCTTACCTCTAAGGAGTGTTTATCCCTGAATAAAACACAAACCGTCAGCCCACCCCCTTTAAAAAACACTATCACAACCCCTCCTATTGAGACGCAGAAAGGCCGGGACAACGCCACGGGTCGGACCCCCCAGAATAACGCTACCTTAGCGGAAGGGACACAATCTTTGCTCTCCACAAACAGAGATGAACTGCGGCCCACCGGCAGCGCGCCGCGGGTCACACCGCACTCTGCTGTGGTCGTGTCGCTGCTCGTTGTGTTATGTGTGTTAGTAATTGGCCTGATCCTGTTAGTGCTGCTCGTACTAAAGAACATACTTTTGCGCCAACAGAGGGTGGCTCCGCTTGATGTGGGCTCCGGGGGATGACATCGGCACCGCAAATGTGTTTATTCATTCCAGTCGCAATAAGCACACAGTGTCATCCGATATTCAAGGTTTTTATTCTATCAGGCCAAATACGTAAATGCCAAAAATGAAATAAAAACACCCCCTTGTCCATTGTTTGTGGTTCATGATCTCATTTGTGTTCTCTGTAGGAAAGATCATTAGCATTTGCTATTTTCAAAAGAGATTATATATACATGTATAACTCCAGAAGAAGTTGCAAGGCCCGGTGTAGTATTGTGTAGTATTATGCTGAACAATGTTCCCAACAGCGCTGCAGAGGAACGTTACATGGCTGGTGTCAAGACGTAACGGTGAAGTCACTAACTGCTGGCGTGCATGCGTTACTTCTTTTCCATGTCCTGTTTGACTCTGTAGTCTGACAGCGCTGCTTTTATGGCATCTTCTGCAAGCACTGAAAGAAAAAGAATGAGGGGGTTTTAAAAGGTACTTTGAGCATGAATTTGATTTGCTTCTACGAAGAAATACCCTGATAGGAGGACAACCGTAGGAAAATGAGAAACGGCAAACTGAACAGTTTCAAATGTATTTAAACTGGGCATGCAGGAAAATGTTTTACTTAAACAGTCCTCTCCACCATCTCCATTGAAACGCCGAAGCAGGGGATATATACGTTTTAGGACAACGGTGCAAATTTGACATTTAGGATCTGTTTTTCTCATCATCTATCTAAATGTTCAGTGATCGTTCAGCCGTTTCATAAAGAACTTACTGGAACAATGAAGCTTGACTGGTGGAAGGCAGAGTTCTTTGGCAATGTCTGTGTTCCTGATCTTCAGCGCTTCATCAACCTACAGGACGAAAGCAAGACATCGACAAGTTATAGGCAGGACATGTAAAGCATTATACCTCTTTCCTTTCCATCAGTGTTGTACTAACTCACCGACTTCCCCTTCACCCACTCTGTGGCAAGAGAGCTGGATGCGATGGCTGATCCGCAGCCAAACGTCTTGAACTTTGCATCAACTATCTTGCCATTTTCATCCACCTGGATCTGAAGACAATACACAATCAAACCTGGTCGTACGATGGGAAGTCACGAGGAGCCGCCTTTGACCTCGACCTCACCTGAAGTTTCATTACATCGCCGCAGGCTGGTGCGCCCACCAATCCGGTCCCCACATTCTTGGCGTTTTTGTCCAGAGTTCCCACATTCCTGGGGTTTTCATAGTGGTCCACCACCTAGAACAGAGAGACAAACCAAAGATGACACGTCACTGCTTGGCTGTTTAGGGAGTTGAAAGGATCGGACACAGCTGATATGGTTAGTGACAAACAAACGGTTACATTTAAGTTACACACTGCCACACAAAACACACGTGACGGTGTGGAGCGAATTTGGAGGGTTACCTTTGTGTGATACGAACAGAGAGCAGTCAGTTCCGGGCGCAATACCCGTCTGCTAAATAACACCAGCGAGGACGCAGCGCTTCCTAAAGAGGCCATCGCCATGTTGAGATAACGATTGTTGACGGAAATCAACGAGTGTACACGAGAGGGGACAGCCCACTGTCTGTTGACAAACACGGCGAGGCAGGAGTGTGTCGCCGGGGAGGGAGCACCCACTAGCGGCGAACAGGAGCCGCTGCACGTCGAGGGGATCCACGGCGAGTTTTCAGCTCCACCTCTCGCGATACTACTGGCTTGTGGCCTGTTACCAGGCAGACGGACATCCAACATGGCCGCGTCGAGCAACGCAGAGCAAACGCATTTGCAAGACATGGAGGAGGGAGATGCGGGGATGGAGGAGAGGGATGGAGACTCGGACGAAGGGGAAGAGGAGGGAATGGGAGTAGATGTTTCAGAGGATGAGGAGGACAATTCGTCGGAAGACGAGAAAGAAAATGAAGCGGAGATCCAGCGGTTGGAGGAGCAGGTGAGTTCACTAATGTTAGCTCACGAGCTAACGCGAATGAATGGGTGGTAACGTTGGACAAAGTCAGCTAATGTAACTTACAACGAACCAGTAACCATATCATTAAAGTTGCGTGCCATTGGGCTCTGCACTAGTTAAATCGAAACAGGTAATATAATGAACAGCCGCTGTTATCCAAAACAATTAGGGGCGCATGATACGACGTCATCCACGCTAACTAGTTAGCCGTCGTGATTAGCGGACATGCTAATCTGTGATGGTAACGTTAATGGCGCCTTTTTACTATCTCAGTTCTTTGGGACATCACAGCGTTCAGTTCATTTTAGTTAGAAAGTGAATGTACACATATAAAGTAGTATACGTTTTACTTTATTGCTAACATACCACAACGTCCTTTAATACGTATGACGGTAAATGCTGCAGCCTTTGCATCCAATAACACAGCTGTGAGAAATAATTCCCATCTATTATTATACTATTAACGTCAGCGCCGTACGCTCGTGTCGTATGTAGTAACACGTGACAAAACACTGTACAACCACGACGCTGGTCAACCCTGCAGTGAGTTCCACCGTCATGTAGGTTATACTGAAAAGTGTTGTCATTATCTTGTGTTGACATGGAGCCCTCCTCCACTCCGATATTTGCTACTACCACCAAGATAGGTTTCTGCATGAGATTAACTAGATACAACTTAATAACCAATGGAGCATTGTACACGTTCATACACCTGTTGGTTTGATTATGTCATAATTGAATATGTGTCATCAATGAGGTGTGACGTTTTCTCTGGAAGTGGTCAAATAAATCACTGATGTAATCAAATAAAGGCAGAGCAAAATAAGCATGGCTTAATATGGACATTTTTAGTTGTACTGTTAAACCGCTTATCCTCTCATCTCTTTGTCGTTTTTCAGCTTTCAATCAATGCTTTTGACTACAACTGCCACGTTGATCTCATCAAACTACTGAAGCAAGAGGGAGAACTTGTACGTCTGCGAAAGGCAAGGGAGAAAATGAGTGAACTTTTCCCGCTCACTGAAGGTTGGTGCATGTACTGTTCTCTTCTTGGCTCAAATTAACCGTTGACAAAAGCTCTGAACTTTCTCTGCAACTGAAAACCCCTCTATTGAACCCTGCAGAGATCTGGCTAGATTGGCTCAAGGATGAAATCCGTCTGACCGAAGAAGAGCCGAACCGGGAGAAAGTATATGAACTTTTTGAGACCGCTGTAAATGACTATATCTGTGAGTGCATTCCAACATTACTAACTGCTTTTGATTCGACGTTCAGTCAATTCATTCGTTTAACATTTAATCTGATGTCATTATACTCAGGTCCAGAAATCTGGCTGGAATTTGCTCAGTATTCAATTGGTGGCATGGGCTCACCAGGTGGGATGGACAAAGTGAGGTCCATCTTTGAGAGAGCTGTGACTGCTGTGGGACTCCACATGACCAAGGGGCAGACCGTGTGGGAGGCATACCGAGAGTTTGAGAATGCCATTCTTTCCACAGTACAGGTTTGTGTTCCAATCACCAGGATCTCATCGGGGCCAGATAAATGCTTGGATCTTATTGCATTTTCAGCATTTGCTTTCAAAAGTTTTAAATCAAAAGCCGTCCTGTATACTTGCAGGTGACATCAATTATTCCTCCCGTTCTGTGTTGAATCCTCCTTTTGAATGATACTCTACTCACTTGGTTAATCCTCTGCCACGTTTCCTCTCAGCCTCCCCCCGGAAGGATTCCTACTCGCGAGGAGCAGGAGCTGCTGAAAACTCAGATTGAGCGTATCCACACGCTGTTTTCGTCGCCAGCTGGCCGTCCCGTTGATGGGTAAAGCATGACTGAGGACGCCTCCTCTGTAAAACGGGCAGGATTCGTGTTGCAAGGGATCTCCGAAGAAAAAACTGAATTGCCCCATTTTTAAAATGTAACGCTGGCTCGTTGAATAAGTTGAGCGTGGCACGGTCGTGATGTGGCTTCTGAATTGGGATGCAGATTGAGAAAGAGAACACTCTTCTTCAGTCTCTGACCACGCTTTCAGTTTGTTGCAGGAGTGGGTGAGATGTAGCCAGATGGTCTAGTTTTATTTCTTCCTGTCCCAGCTGAAGAGATTTCTGTAGAGTTGCCACTTCTTTTATTTTATAAACATCTCCCTCGTTGAACTATTCAGAGATTAGACAATAAACCGTGAACAATGATACATTTCTACATTTTGTAAATACTGTATCTGCTGTATGTATGTTTTATTGACAATTTTTAAGTGTGTCTGAAATTTGTGCTCCATTGCTTTGTAGACATGGAAGCCACCTATGCAGAGTATGAAGAGTGGTCGGAGCATGGGGTCGCCGAGACGGTCATCCATCAGTACAAAAAGGCTTTGGAGCAGCTGGCAAAGTACAAATCTTACGAAGACGCACTGGTAACTGGCTTGATAATACAGTCTCCTGCAGATATCCTCCTTGAATTAGTTTTAAAAAATGCCTTTTTTTTAACATCTTATCTGCATGTTCTTGTCTTTCTGCAGATGGCAGCAGAACCTCCTAAGCTGGCAGAGTATCAGTCCTACATTGACTTTGAGCTAAAGGAGGGCGACCCTGCACGGATCCAGATCACCTTTGAGCGGACTCTAGCAGAGAACTGCCTTGTGCCAGACATGTGGGGCAAATACACAACATATCTTGTGAGTAATGGGCTCTCAGGGGGACTGTGATGTTTATATGTAGACTCCTGCTGACGTCACTCTAAAACCCGCTCCGTGATAAATCTTTCAGCATTGCTGACTATTATTTCAATCCTTTTGTCTCTCTGTGGACTCTGTAGGACCGTCAGCTGAAGATCAAAGACATGGTCCTCTCTTCTCATGAACGCGCTGTCAGGAACTGCCCCTGGACGATGGGTCTGTGGAGGAGCTACCTGCTCGCTCTGGAGAGGCACGGAGCGGACCATCAGACCGTCTCAGGTACAGACTGTTCACATTGATTACTCTGTTGCTGTGCGCTTCCCATTTGGAAAGATCTCAGACCCAGCAGTGGTGTCATTGTCTTCCTCACAGATGTTTTTGAAAAGGCGCTGAATGCTGGTTTCATTCAAGCAACGGATTATGTGGAGATTTGGCAGTCATACCTGGATTACCTGAGGCGACGCGTGGATTTTAGCAAAGGTTAGAGCAGCTCTGTGCGAAACAATAGATCTTTGTTTGAAATGTTTCACTAGTGTTCCTTTATTGTTGTCTTGCTCAAGGTGTTTCCTTTCTGTGTGTTTGTTCAGAATCAAGTAAGGAATTAGAGGAGCTACGAGGAGCATTCTCTCGATCTTTGGACTACATGAAACAAGATGTCGAAGAAAGTGGGTGGATTTGCGTCCGACTGAGATTTAATTCTTTGGTATTTGTGGTTTGGTTTTCCTCATCAGTTGTCTTGTGTCACTGTAGGGTTTGGTGAAAGTGGAGATTCTTCTTGTATCATAATGCAGATCTGGGCGAGGATAGAGGTAAGAGGAGTTATCGCGACAGTCACTATAGGGCCTGTTACTAAAATTTCTCAAAATGTGACTTTTATAGTTGAATTATACTACTATATAATTATACTACTATACTAGTAGTATACTACTATACTACTGTGGTTTTTATAACCACACTTGCATATGTAACAATTTCTTTCTTTTTTTTCTCCCTGCCAGGCCCTCCACTGCAAGAACATTCAGAAAGCCAGAGAACTGTGGGACAGCATCATGACAAAAGGGAACGCTAAGTATGCCAACATGTGGCTGGAATACTACAACCTTGAAAGGTTTGTCACAATTTCTGAGTGGGGAGGGTGGAGATAATTTGAAATGAAGTGCTGATATTTTTCAGTTATTTTGTACTTTTATCTGCAGGTCTTATGGGGACCCAGTTCACTGTCGGAAAGCTCTCCACAGAGCAGTTCAGTGCACCTCAGACTACCCTGAGCACGTGAGCGAAGTCCTGCTCACATTTGAGAGGGTTGAAGGTGAGTACTAATGGGGAAAAAAGGTCAAATCTAACCTAAAATAAAGAGGATTGCATTTCATGAATTGTGTCTCTGTATTTTGCGTCATCGCCTATAGGTTCTCTTGAGGACTGGGACGTTGCGGTGCAGAAGACAGAGACTCGGCTGAACAGGATCAACGCGCAACGAGCAAAGGTTGGAGGACATGCCCTTGTTGCACTGGACCGGTGTATCATTAAGGTGCCTGTGGCCAACGTTACCATGTACCAACCTTCCCCCCCTCTGTTAGGCAGCTGAGAAAGAGGCCAACGTGGCTCGCCAAGAGGAGGAGCGAGCTGACCAGCGGCGAAGGACCAAGGCCGAGAAGAAGGGTCAGAAGAAAGTCCCGAAAGGAACTCGAGCTGGGGAGAAGAGGAAAGCAGAGCAGGATGATCATCACAAGGAGTGGAATAACGGCTCCGGTAAATGGAGATGATTTGTTTTATGAACCTCTTTTATTTTACAGCAAAAATATTCCTGAAATGATGTGTTTGCAAATGTTTCTCTCGCTCTAAAACAGAACCTGGCACGAAAAGGCACAGAGGAAATGGGGACCAAACCGCAGAGGAGCACATGGAGACGGAGACGGGGCTCTTTGGGAAGAAAGCTCCCCCCGGCTCTAAGCGTCCTCCCCCCGGCTATAAAGGAGCAGCGGCCGCTGCCCAGAAGCAGAGCAGCAACGACGACGACAAGCCAGAGCTCCGCAACGACAACAGCAGCGTATTCATCAGCAACCTGGCGTACACGCTGGAGGAGCCCGAGGCGAAGCTGAGGACCCTGTTTGAGACCTGTGGTCCCATCGAACAGGTTCGCCCAGTCTTTGCCAGCAAAGGGGCCTTTAAAGGCTACGGCTATGTGCAGTTTGAGTCCACAGTGTCCGTCGCTGAAGCCTTGAAGCTGGACCGGCGGGAGGTGGAGGGCAGGCCCATGTTTGTGTCACCGTGTGTGGACAAGAACAAAAATCCTGACTTTAAGGTAAATACATAATTTACTGTTTTTTATTTCTATATCTACAATGTCGGCAGGTGTCAAGGCGTAAAGCTTATTTTTCAAAATTATATTTACAAATTCTCAGATATTTTGAATGTGGAATTTATCATTTTTATTTGGTCTACAGTTATCGATTTTATGCATATTGATCTTATTATATCATTATGTTTGAATGTAATCAGCGTACACACCGGGGCGTTAATCGAAAAATATCCTTCTAGATCAAAATGTCTCTGCTGGTTTTCCATCGTGACCACTCACCCTTATTGTCTCCGTAGGTGTTTAAGTACAACAATTCCATGGAGAAACAAAAGATCTTTATCTCTGGGCTGCCGTTCTCATGCACCAAAGAGCAGCTGGAGGAAATCTGCAAAGGTCACGGCACCATCAAAGATATTCGTCTGGTCACGTATCGCTCAGGAAAACCCAAGGTGAGCCATTAAGAGAAGGACAGTGTCCAGATGTTTGGCCCAAATTAGTTCTCCTGATTAAACTAATGGTTCCAACTCAGCTGCTGGTGAGTTGACCGTTTCTTGCTGTGTGCCTCTGTAGGGTCTGGCATATGTGGAGTTTGCGGATGAGGCCCAGGCCTCTCATGCAGTTCTGAAAATGGACGGCATGTGCGTGGAGGACAATAAGATTTCCGTTGCCATAAGTAACCCTCCCCGCAGGAACACGATGGATAACGCTGGTTCCAGCAGGCTGGCCGTGGACGTCCCTCGCCAGGTCTTTGGATCGTAAGTCTACTGGCACATCTTGTCTTTTCGTCTGCCTCCATGTGTGTTGTGAGTGTTCTGAAACAAAGCTGGTTTTCTGCCTCCCCAGGAGAGGAAGAGGTCGCACCCAGCTCTCGCTGCTCCCTCGTTCTCTGCACCGACAAAGTGGGCCGGGGGGCAAAGCGGAGAACGGAGCTGCGGCGGCAGAGAATGCAGCCGGAGAGACGAAGCCGTTGTCAAACTCTGACTTTGCCAAGATGCTTCTCAGCAAGTGAGAAAGCCAGAGAGAAGCCATTGAGTGTCCTTACAAATTTACTCCTCTGTAATTGGGTTCCCGGCTTCCCTTTAATCTCAAGTCTTGTTCTTATCTGCCGCTCTGCGAGATTTGCCTTAATCGCCGAACTCTCGCCCGCCATCGGAAAGCGTTTTCAACCAAGACTTTTCACCCGTGTGACAGATTGTTTTTGTTTGATGGTGTTTTGACGGATATTTTATTAAAAAAAAGTGTATAATATTTGTGTGTAAATAGACTATCTACAATTGTTGCAATGGTGTTGTTTTTGTGTGTAGGTGGAAGGGATGTGAGAGACACATATGAAAAAATATTTATTTTAGAAATCTTAACAGCCAACTGTCTGAATGTCGTTTACAGGTTTTATGCACAAAGTTCAGATATGGTGTAATATCGTGTGTGTGTGTACAGAAGTTGGATGTTTTACAGTGATGTTTTTTAAGAAACCTAGGATTTCAATTGTGTAACTTAGTTGATGCTGACAACTTAGTTAACAAGGCTAGCAGTTACTTTTTACTGTATCCAGTCTGTTATTGGTCAGTATTCTGATGCTATGACATCTACGGTCTCTTGGCCTGTGAACATGTTCCCAACCTGTCACGCTGCTGATGCTGGATATGAGGTGGAATATTTACTCAACTGCTCCAATTTACTTTATTTCTCTTTTTTTACATCCCTGTTGATGCAACCTGCCTGTTCGGGTAATATTAAAGTAATTTTACTTTATCACATGGATATGCTTTTTATATAAAGCAATGACTGATGTGCCCTGCACCTTCCAGCAGGGTGATTGGGGTCTGAAAAGAAAAGAAAAATTATGAAAATTATTGGCTAGTAAAGAAATAAGTTAATTTCCTGCGCCGTCATGAGTACGTTGATAAGAGGAATTAGTTGGTTTAGATGTTAAGGATTAAGATACAGGACTGATTCCTGAAAGTTATACATTAAACTGTTGTACACTGAAGTGAGAGCTAGGTAGTTTTCATAAAAAAACTGGTTCATTTCCTCAAAATAAACACGATATGATACGAGGCCACGCTTTGCTGCCCGGCGATGGTTTTCTGGAGAAACACAACATTTTTCTGCAGCAGCTTTAACAAAAATGAGTCAGAAATTGACCAGTTGTCAGCTTTTCATGTTTGGATATTAAGTTGTTTGTGTACATAATGTTCTATATAGTAATTTCATATAATACAAGTTTTCAAAATAGATGGAATACAAGCTATGTATTCTCACCACAGTGGCCTAACCGTAAAGAAAGATGTGGTCTCTAAAGTCAATTTGTTTTGTGTCGATACTAAAACATGGTTTGTGCACATTGCTCCTGTTTTTTAGAAGTTCTGAAGTCAGAGTTTGTAATTTGGTATTTAGAAAAATACTAAATGGAGTTTTCTTTGGTGTTCAATTGGTATTTATTCACCAGCTTGTTTCATTATCTTACCTTCTACCCTTGTTGTCTTCCTGTTCCAATAAAGTCACATAAATCATCTTTGTTTCCAATGACAAGTTGTCAATTGTAAAACTTTAATAAAACACTTAATTTAAAATAAATAATCATATACATAATATATATATTCTTTACAGTGTTAAAGACATCACCTTCATCCCAAAGAAGATAATTATCTGAATGTTCCCACACTGAAGCATCTCGAGTGGTATGACATCAGAACTTTCCTCCTCACCGAACCAGTAGATTGCACTCTGATGGTAATAGAAATGCATAATCCCGACTGTTGGACACTGAAAGCACACTAAAAGTGTGTAAACCTCCAAATACACTTCAATTCAACACCCTGGAGAATCCCAATGAATTGAGTAAGCGTATAACGCAAACTGAAGCAAAGGGGTTACAGCAGAGGGCTTTCAAAACACAATCCTTGGGAAGAGCTCCGAGCTTCTCCCGCCTCCGGCTCAGTTGTGAATGGGGATGGTCTGTTTGCAGTCAGGGCAGGCGTGTTCCTGGCTGGCTCCCGGCAGCCCCACAGCATGCTCCGTGGTAGAAATCAGCAACGTGTCCAACGTCATCTCCGTGCATTTGGCTATGAAGCGGATGAACGGCCGTACGTCCCCCTCGTTGGCCGTGTCCAGCGCGGCGTAGTACTCGGCCCTTTGCTCTTTGCGGATGGTGACCGGCGGGTACCGCGCCTGCATCAGCACAAGGTTCATGAGCAGCCGCGACGTGCGCCCGTTCCCGTCCACGAACGGGTGCACGTAGACCAGCTTGTAGTGCGCGAGGGCCGCATACTCCACGGGGTGCATCTGCAGCGCCTCGTCGCTGTTGAGCCACTGGGCCAGCTCCTGCATGTGTCTCTGCAGGTCCTGGGGGTGCGGCGGGATGTGGTGGCCCACGAACACCTGGCTGGTGCGCAGCCTCCCCCCCTCCACGGGGTCCACGTGCCCGAGCACCCGCCGGTGGATCTCCAGGATGTCACTCACGGTCATGGTCCCCGTTCTGGACAGCAGCGTGGTGTTGATATACTTCATGGCCGCGTCCACGCCGATGGCCTCGTTCTGCTCCTGCAGGCTCTTCCCGGCGACGGCATAGCGAGTCTCGATGATGTGACGGATCTCTGACAAAGTGAGCGTGCTGCCCTCGATGGCCACGGTGTGGTAGATGTGGTGGTAGTAGGTTTCCTCCATCACCCTGCGGAGGGCCGAGTTGCCTTTAGGTATGGACATAAGCCGGCGAACTTTACTGTCAATGATGCTGAAGTAACGCTGGTCGATCTCCTCCACCAGGGGAAGAGTTCGGTCCCGGCTGACCAGGGCTCTCTCGTTACACGGCGAGATGGCCAAGGCCTTGGTGTAGAGGTGGTCCGCCTGGACCACATCTTTCTCTTCCTCCAGAATGGTGCCCAGCTCCGTTAGGGCATCCACAAAGTCTGGATTCATGCCGAGTGCGTGCACCAGCAGCTTGTGAGCCTTGTCCCTCTTCCCCTGTTTCCTCATCTCAAGAGCCAGCTGCAGCGCCGCTTTGGCCTCCAGCTTCATCTCTGCAATGAGAACATGGGGGGCATTGAAAAGAGACATGAGGTCCAGGACCTCGCTCCTGCAGTGACCAGTATAGGCTATGTAAAAGCATCTGTGTTTGACTGAAATGCCGTCTTTCGAGAATGAACATGCATAGAAAGTGGACATTTAGGGAAATCGTGTCTTCATCTTAATGTGGTAAAAGTGGATGAATTCATCACTGGTGTTCGGTACCTTTGCTCGGCTTGGACCTCAGAGGCAGAACATCCAGGGCCGTGAAGGGGACGGTGAGGCTGGTGGACCGCACAGCTGGAGGCTGCGGAGAGCTTCCCCACAGCTGGCAGCGGAGCTGCGCGAAGCCCCTCAGGGTGGCGCAGCAGCGGTCCTCCTCCCCCACCAGGGGCATCAGGACGGCCACTAGAAAGCAGAGGAAGACACACAGCAGCGGGCACCATCCTCCCAGCAAGCGGCCGCTGGTGTAACAGCACGCCTTCACAACAGCAGCCATGACAGTCCCGGGTCAATCCCTCCATCTTCTAGTGATGCGGGTCCCCGGGTAGGTCCACCCCGGCTCGGGTTGACCGGGAGGAAGACATGTTCAACGAGGCTTCTGTTCGGTTCGGTTAACCAACTTTTACAGCTCGTGAGCAAGATAACGGTAGCTAAGGTCAGCTGAGTTCTTCGTCCTTTATGTGACTCTAAAACACCGACCAATTAACGACCAGACGGCGGCTGACTTCTTCTCGTTGCCCGGTGAAGTTGTGTACTAAACGTAAGACACATGAAACGTCACCAACTTCCTTGGTCTGAACATCGTGGGATATCATTGGTCAAAAGACGTACACGGGTGCTGCTGATTGGCTGAAAACGCAGCAATACAACGAATGGTTCGTAAAGGACTCTGATTGGTTTGTACATAAAGTGCCTCCCTGAGTTTAGCCTTTCAGGCTGCGCCGAAACCATCGCGACACTTCTGACTACATCTGTACCGTGGGGAGTTTTAACAGGCAGCATATTACAAAACACATACGTGCTTATTTTAGGGCCATTATTTACGTTTCCCCATCTCTGTAGGTGAACCAAGGATTTTTCTACTTAGTTGAAACTTCCGTGTTTTATTGGATAACATATAAATAAATTCATCCATATTTCTATAGTTCTTTCTCACTGCACACGTCACTTTCACTTGTCACTTTCTGTTTGCTGGTGCACTTTATTTTTAATTTTTAATTTCTAAATATTTTTAACTTTTTAAACTAACCCATAGCCTACTACTAACCCATAGCATTATATTTTATTCTATTCCTCGTGCACTGTTCTTCTGTCTACTGTCGTCCATTGTTGTATTGTCTGCTGTTACGCACGCCAAGTCAAATTGACATATTATGGCAATAAATGTTTCCTGATTCCTGATTCTTGATCCAGGTGTTGGGCCTTGGTGGCAGTGTCTGCCAAAGCTATTGACTTCTCTAGGAATGAGAAAGAAATTCACACAGTCGGTTTGATGCTACAATAAATAACGTATTAGATGATTATTGGAAGGAGGACATTGGATTATTAGAATTTAACTTTGTTAACCATGACATGACAATGAATATCTTTAATCGTTTATCTTAAAACAAGCATATTAACAAGCAGAAGAGGGCAGCATTGCTATGTAGTTAAAAATCACAGCCAGCATATCCCCTGAAGACTGGAGAGAATTGGCCTCAAAATCCTATTCATCAAGATTTCTTCTCATGCAATCCAGTTTGTGAATGCCATAAAGACAAATCTTTATTTTTATGAAGCTTTGTTTGGAGTTTAACTTCTCTCTCCTGCTTTCTATTGCCATTTGGTCATCTTTCCGTTCTTTTTGTATCTTTCCTACTTGTCACTGGTATTTAGTTTAGCCTTTTTTATGATAAAAGCCCACTTTATACTTTTCTATGCATCTATTTATAGAGAATATACCCTTCCACCAGCTGGGAACAGCCTGTGGTGATAAGTATTGATTCCTGGCTTGGTGCCAGAGCAACACTATTATACATATCTTCAGCAGATGGCAGCCGGGCTGATGGTCACACAGCAACAGAGACTGCAGCAACATGCTGACGCCACAGACACCGCACAGGAAGTTATGAATGAACAACTGTGTTTCTCTTAATGCTTTTTATGATTTTATGTGCGCTCAGAGATTAAATATGTCCTGAATTTTAGGGGTTTTTAATTTGTCATGTGATGTTGCACACTGTACTCACATTGAGCTGTGGAGCCGCACAGTAACCTCATTTAGCACCACAGAGCCCCACTGTGCTGCTCTGACCCACAGCAGCTTCACCTTGGAGGATAGTGGAGCAGCCGTGCTTGAGCTGCCTTATTTCTTCACTGTTACTCATGTGCTCCACCACACCACTCTCAAAGCAAAGATGGAGCTGCAGCATGTTATTATGGCTAATAATATGTTTCATTTATTTCACATTCAGCGAAAGAAAGAACGGAACCACGGGGGATGTGTAATCAACATGCTGCCAGGGATTAACTGAAGAAAGAACGACTCACTTGTCGTCGAGGCTTGTCCATGGTCATCTGTGGCTTGAAACAGACTCAGCGCTGTCTAATATTTCCTTTGCTCCGAGACACTTTTATTGTTACTCTTTGGCTTGGAAGCCTTCAATCCATAATGCATAAAACCGTGCGTGCACAAAGACACTGGTGGTATAAAAAAATACATTAAAGTAAAGCCTTCACTGTTGGGTTCTTTTTTGATGCAATAGAAAAAAGAAAAAAACACTAAATCATGTCTCAGATCCTTGACTTCCTGAAGACATATTTTGTATTAAATTAGAGTAAAGGGCCTATTTATCGCGTGTCAGCAGTGAAAAGCAGCGATAACAAAACCGTACATCTTTAAATAAAGATATTCTAACATGTACTATGAAGGTCTTTATGCTGGTAACACGCTGAGAGGTCAATATGTCAATATATGAGTCCATGTGTATTACTATTACTGCCTATTTCAAGAATCTCAAACTACAGATAACAAAACAATTAAGGTAATGTAACTGAGACCACACAGAGAGAAAGGCGTATAGTATGCAGTGGACAATAAGAGACATAACAGTTGTGATGTCATAAGACTAAATCCGTCCTCCTCCAGTGAGACCAATACTGATGATAAAGACTCCCTTTCTCTGGGGGGGGGGGCTACTCCGTACTACAAGTCATTATAAGTCAGCGTTTTCTGCTTGGACAATTGATCATTTATCGATAACCCACATCTATAAAAAGGGCCCTTTAATAAAAACAAGTCGCTGTTTTGTGACTAATGATGTGTCGGCAGTGACTTTTAGACCTCATTGGAATTTTCTATCTGCGGTTTAATTTTAAAAGATTGATTTCCACTGACATTTCGATTGTGATGTCATTTTTTCAAAGTGAACCGGCCTTTTTTTACTGGCCTGCTGTTACCAATGAGCCAATGTGTGGAGGAAATGAATCGAGATCTCGATTCTTAAACTGAGGGTTGACACAATTAATTGACGCTTAAACTAGTGTGGGACATCAATTCTGCTCTGTGGCTGCTGTCCAGTGGCTTGAATCACAGAGCGGCATACAAGCAGTGATATCGTTGCCACTTCTCAATATGCAATTGAGCTTAGAACTGGCTTCAGTTGAGAAACAGAACAGATATGGCAGAACGGGCGAGTGAAAAAGGAGAAAAGATGGCAGGAAATTAACTGCCCTCGGGTCATTTTGTGGACCAATTCTATGCCCATCTGGCATATGCTTATATGAGCTAAAGCCCCCACGGCTGTGGAAACAGATAAAACACAGTCTGCTGTGATGATGAGGGCTAATTCCATTTTTATTTTTTGTTGTGTTTATGCAATTAAATGCCTCATGTCACTTTGGGATTATTGTCAGAATGGAGCAGTCTCATTTCTCAGTCTCAGTTTTACATCTGTTTTCTGTGAAGCATTCCTACTAAATGAAATAACTTAAATAACGCAAAATAAATGGTTTGGTTGGTTTGGAACCAAGACCCGACCCCCGATGAGAGGTTGAAGATGAGACGAGCGATTCCTACAGCCTGCGTTCATCTCCATCATCAGTGTTGTCAAATGACTATGATGCAACGTGAATTACACGCTTTACCGTTAAGCTCTGAGAAAAAAAAAAACAGCCCACTTGTTTCCACCGAGAATGAAGAGAGGTTGCTTCACACCAGCCGACACGTTAACTAAAAGAACCCTTCACAGGTGACCCCCTTTTAAAACAACCCCCCCTCTTTTTACTACTTGCTGGAACTGTGCTTCAAAAGGAATAAAATCCATCTGCCCACCTGAAAAAAAAAAGACCTGTTAGGGCAGAAAATAAATCCCTGTGGCCGAGGCTCCTCGTCGGCTCCCACACCGGCTGGTGCTCTTCTCTTCAGCCGTCAGCCTGCTTTCCTCTCTCTCTGAGATGAAGCTTTGTTCTGAGTGACAGAGCTGGGTGTCTGAGACACAGAATCTTGTTAGAGGAATGGTGGCTCTCTTTCCACTCTCTGAGTATGCATGGCTCAATGCAGGGATGAGAGAGCCCCGAAGGACGAGAGAGAGAGAGAGGGAGCAACAACCGTCCTTGAGTGTCACCATACTAAATATCTGAAAGGAGAGTTTTGCTCCGAAACGCAAGAACGTCCCACATACATACTGGCAGACGGACAGGCGCTGTTTCAAACCAAATCATTGGAATACAAACTGATAAATAAAACATTGTTTTGTTCATGCAAAATGGTTTCGTGCACAATGTGACTAGCACACATTACATCTGCCTGTCCCCGACCTTTGGTCCGTCATCCATCCGCGTCTGAGCGGCGGTTCAGGTAGACTACTCGAGTAGAGCTTCACAGTCTGCTTCTGGCTACAGCAGACAGCGTTATTCAACGCAGCCTTCACAATAAGCTTTTCTATTGACGCTCTTAGTTCTCCACTCCAACACGCCTGCTCAGATTTGCTGGGATTTCCTAAAGAAGCTGCTGTGCGTCATGTACACAAGCTTCATGAAGACTTAGTGCAGGAATTCGCCTAAGTCGGCTGACTGAACTTACATCCAGCAATGCAGCAATGCACTAACCAGGAGGATCATGGATAATTCATTTTACTGAATGAATGTGCAGCATGGAGGACTTCTGACTTCTTGCATAAAGCCTGGAGAGAATAACCATGATTTATTCAATCTATGCTTGGTAGCTGTCTGTCCTCTTTCTCATTTTCTCAAAGCCCCTGAAGGGAACCATTTCAGTTGAAACCCCTCTATGAATGACTGAACATCGGTGATTTGTGTTTGGAACGGACAGGCAGGTTTCTGCATCTGATCTTAAGTCGTGTTGCGAGGCGCGACGTGTTCAACATTGTCAAATGTGCTCGTTTGTTGGTTCAAATGTGCTCGTTTGTTGGTTGTGCGTACGCATTCCGATTAGACGCCCCCCCCCCCTCAGGCCCTGGCTCACAGGCACCACTGAGGTGAAGTCATTACAAGGGACCTCCTACAGGCTCCTGCTGCCGTTCCACTGATTATCTCATGTTTGCACTGGCCTGTGCCATTCAGAGAAGGTGGTCTGCAAGCGGCCAGCTTTGTCAAATCTACCAATTCCAGCACTAACGGGCACATCTTTCAGCACACAGCGATGACTCAGCAGCTGTGGGCAGCTCATTATTTCCTTCAGCCTCCGAGCGACGGCTGCTTGGGGACTCTGTTTGGTTTCTTTGGTAACGATCGGGGGGGAGTACAAAATAACCTGATAGCTCTTCATAAGATGATTCAATTTAAGTGCATCC